TGTATAAAGAAGGAATGATTCTTTTTAAAAAACCTTTCACAGCTTAGAATAAAAAGCACACTTATTGCACTCTTACATTTTATTTCAGATAATTATGGTTTATTTCCCACCCTCACATCAATTTTTCCCTACCCTCAGACTTACCCCCATGCCCTCCCCCATCCTATTTGGTCCATTTTTTTCTATATTTGTGCCTAGTCTGTGAGCTTTGTTGCTTATGCTAGTCTGAAGTTTCCTCCTATGTAACTCCTACTCCACCAAAAACACACATGGGTTAAAAAGCTTAACACACAAACGCAACACAATACTTTTCAAAAGAAAATGGTATTAAGCAACTTACTCATGACCCCACTGCACCCCTGTAATGGGAACCCCTCCTCTGCTGCGTCTCTTGGGTGGAAGTCATGCCTGATTCCCTAGAGGTGCTGCGACGAGAAACAGCCGCCCATGGGCACTGGGCAGCCTGCTCAGCCGCCAGGAGACGTGGATGGTTTGCACAAATCCTTTTTCCTTTTTTTGATACTAACATGAATAAACATATTTTGGTTTTTTATTTTTAAAGAGTATTTCAATATACAGAATTCTTTTGAAAAATGCATCACAAGAAAACATACATTGGCTGTGTCCTCGTGCACAGCTGGTTATACCATTGTAATTAATTAGCCTAAACAGCCAAATAAAATTAAACATTTTAATGAAACTGATTCAGTAATTAATAAGACTGAATTAACAGTTGAAGTTGTGATGCTGAAATAAAAGATCTACTTAAACAGTTCTTTGAGGTGGGGACTAACTGTCCCTATGCATTTAAAAATAAAGCACTGTTTTCTTAGTTTAAGATTTTAGGACTTAAGTTTTTGTCCTCTTCTAACCTTAAAAATACTTGAGAGAAACTGTTAATTACCCTTCCTACAACTGACAAAATTGAGGGCTGAATTTCAATGTAAATGCCCAAACAGAAGTAAAAATAAGTTATCTGAAAACAACAAAGCTTACTGTCTAGTGTACTGATACAACAAAAATCTTACCAGCATTTTCAATTTTACCAGAGCTGGCAACATGGAACATGAATACACTGGCCACTCCATTCTCCGCTGGCCAATTCAGAAATCAGGTGGAGGTGCTACAGTACTCGGGTGCTCAACGACCTATGGGCGTTAGGAACACACCTTAGTAAAACATCTCTGAGAACTCGCAGGAGACAGTATACTGCCTTTCTTAGGGGTGGTGAGGAATGAAACAAGATACAAGCACAGCATGGAGTGTGTCCACACCCACGGCCAGGTCGTAAGCTATTCCGATGCCTTCTCCTAAAGCACCCTCCCAAGGCCTCCCAGCGCCCCACGTGGCATTAGCAGCACCGTCCCGCTTAATTTGCCAACCAGTCCTGGGAGGCAAGTTTCTATTTCAAACTCTGAAAAATCAGTGTCTAGGTTGGCAGCAGTATTCTGGAAACTGGTAAAATCAAATTCTGTCCCCTATTTTAATTTCCTTCCCCCTTCGCATTAACACGCTCAACTGCTGCCCAGCATACAGTACTTCAACCTTAAACTACAGCAATTTCTTAAAATGTCTGTCAAATATTTCTGTTATATAAAAGTTCCATGCTTTGAAGAACCTACGGGAGTAGAAAAAGTTTCTCTAGAAATGTCACTGAACTATAATTTCAACCTATTTGCTCTATGTGATAAATATATCTGACTATACTAGGGATTATGTGCTTTAAAAAAATAATTTTGTTCACTGAAAATTTACCTGTGTTTTTTCATTTTCTTAAATGTGATTTTGGCTATAAACTCTTTAGTGCATTTATCTTTGCAGTCTAAATAGCACTCTAAAAAATATTAACACAGCTGAATTAGACCAGAGTGGCTGCTCTCTTCACAAGTCACTGATTTCTGCTAATATTTTAGCTTTTTTTATTGCATCATGAAGGCACAGTAAGATCATTTGGCAAATCGTCAAGGTATTTTCCTAGAGCCTCACCTACACCATTCCAATGTATGACATATAAGCTATTTCCTGTTCATCCTAACAGTAAACCGTCCATGTCTGGCTATGTGTGTTTTTAAAAAGTAGCCTAATGGCTGGAATCAGTTAGTCTCAGGGTGCTGCTCTTTTAGCACTAACAATGCCAACTTGGACAGAGGAGAATCTTGCAAAATGGGTAATAATTCTCTACCCTCTGAGCTGGGCAGTCTAGCGGAGTATCTGTGCATGTGACAAAGCTGTGGTTAACTCATTATGAAGGTATTGTCTTGCCAAGCCCACTGGAAATTAAAATTATATCGTTAGTGAAGTGATACCGTTAACTATTTAATTTCATGCAACTGACTTAAGGTTCTTGAGATTGTGCGACGTACCCCTTAACAGATTCTGGCACTGTCTGCAACATCCAGACACTCTGACCGAGCTACATTTTTCAGTATTACTGCTTAAATGTATAATGCCCTTTAGGACAAAATGAGAGCGCTCACGTACAAGCACACATAAAAGTTAAAATCCTAGATCATCTTCATGTTCTAGAGCTCCTGACTTTCCATATTTTAAAATAAATAACTATTCATTACCTCATTCTGAGGAGGTAGTTTTTTGAAGAGGTCACCTGGACTCTGCGGCCTGTTTCAGACTAAAGCCAGAGGAGGTCTGCCCGAGGCGGAGGGTGAGCGCAGAGGAGGGGCACGAGCTGAGGGGCGGCAGTTCCAAGGCTGCCTGACGTGTAGAAGATGACGCTGTGTGATAAAGAGCTGTGACCGCACCCCACGAGAACCCAGGAGCTATTTACAGTTTCAGGCTGACAGTGTTGAAATCCTGAATTACTTCTTTAAAGTATACAAGTGTCCTTTCTTCTCCAACACCAACATGGATATAACACACAACTTTATGTATGTGACTTTATCTTCCAGGATGCCCCAGTCCTACCAGATCTCACATACAATCAGGGACCACACGTTCAGGAACCAGAATTTGACAGCTAGACAAAATTTTCTTTTAAGGTGCACGTAAGTACAAATAATCACACTGGATTTTCTATTCACAAATCCCTTTTATAAACTACTTTTTGGTCAATATTATTTCAGTGGCAAAAGTCTAGACCCTAGGCTGTAGTTTAATGATTAAAAAAAAAAAGTCCATCAGGAATACTACATCTTTTAAAACAATCATTTATGGTCACTCTCCAATTTTTCAGAAGGCTTCAAGCTCTCCTCACCCAAAGTAAAATACATTACAGAAGGCACTGTAGCCACTTTACGGAAAAGACAGGTAACTACAACCTCACAAGGTAATCAGTGAAGCAGCCACATACTATTTATACAAATCACTCATAAAGTGCTTCGCACACCAAGGAGTTCTTCCTTGTATTTCTTAGGAGCTCAGCAAGTCTATCTGTAGTTAAGCATCAAAAAAATAAAGCAAGTGAAACTCAGAGGTAAACCCCTTTTTCCTATCAGTTGTAAACTAGAGAAAAAACAATATGATGGATAAAAGAAAAGGGGAATTTTCAAATCTTATTTTTACTTTTTAAGGGCTCTATAAAAATCTTTCAAGAATACCCTGAGCCTGGCTTCTGGGCACAGATGCATTTGAGATCAAATCTGCTCCTTCCTTTCAAATGAGATAACAACCTATTTTAAAAAGAAAGGGAAAAAAAAAGTGTATTAGCGTGAATTTTGTTTGGAAACCGCCAGTGCTCAGCTTCCTCCATGACTAGTCCCATGCTGGCTCTGCCGCCCCAGGCAGCCCTGCACCTGGGCAGGACACAGGCTCGCTCTGCACACAGGCCTGCAGGGGAAGCCCAGCTTTCCGAAGTCTTGGCAAAGGGAACACATGCATCTTTGAAAGCGTCCATGGGGGCCACGTTTAGAAAGAAAAATAAACAATGCTTTTAACAGAGGCAGCATTATACACACAAGATGCTCTTCAAATGAGCACAAACCATTTCCATATGTGCAATTTCTGAATTTTGTTAAGATGCTGCTCTGCTCCTGTAAGATGAAGAACACACTGCTTTTCAAATTCACCAGTCACTTCAGTGTGTTTTTCATCCTACTAGGACAGCTTTTTACAAGTTTCTGGAATTTTCAGTAGGCCTTCCTGTGAATACAGCAGGTATTTTAGCAAAACTCATCTAATGGCAGTGAGCTTTAGTTGGTGGAAAGACAGTGGGGTGAGTTACAATTTGCAATTTTAAAATAACAATTTCTAATTCCCTGATTTATTTTATAGGTCCTAATTTCTTTCAGACCCTTGGCTACCTAGCTTGGCTAGGGGTTAAGTACATTTGATTGGATGTACATTCCTAAATCCTGATAAGAGATTCTAGACTCATGATAAGGGAGGTATTTGTCGTTAATTTACCATTAATATGTCCAGAGTCACTTTCTTTGTCACAACTGTGGCTTATACCACCCTTCTCAAAGGCCAAAGGAAGCTAGGACTCAGCTATATTTTTTACTTATACAAAGATAAAGAATGAGGTTCTTAATATCACAGCAGCTTTCTATAAAAACAGCTGACGTTAGGCTTCACCCATCCTCTCTCAGTCCCCATATTCCTGAAATTGCTCTAGTCTCTGCCTAGGGAACTCAGCTGCCAAATTACCCAACCTTTTGAAGACCAGGCTTGGGAAAAAAGGAAGAAGGAGAAAAAATGGAGACACCACCATTTTTTATTTTAGGTTGCATATTCTAGATAAAAGACTAGAAAGAGGATGAGGATGTAGTGTAGAAGTAAACTGGAAGAAACAATGAGATATTAGCAAAGATGTTAGTATGGATCCAGCAAGTACCATTAATTTAAAAATTATAAATATTTGTCATATGCTAAGACTCCCCATATTTAGGTAGAGAAAAGGATACTTTTTCTTTAAAAGTTGTTTATATAACAAAAATACAATTTTCCAGGATATATAATTCTAGTGGGAAGTATTATTTCATTCCAATTAAATCTGAAAATTATTTTCTTTTTAATAAAAATATAATAGAAGAAACTCAGAAATTAAAACTTGTACCTTACATTTAAATTACATAAATGTCTCACATTCAAAACTGTTATCAAGCAGTTTTGTAGGCTTTTAATTAGATACCACCATGGCATTTTTGTGCCTTGGACAAAGTAGCCACATAAGTACTTGGTGACTGGAAGAGCTTAGGAGGAAGATTTTCCTGAGAACTTGCTATATTGTGGAGGGAAAAAAAAAAATCCCAAACACTTCTCTTCATTGCTGGACCCAATGAGCAAAGACGGCAGCGTGTGCCAGCGCTCTCCAGCCTGCGTGGTTAGGCAGACACCCTCAGGGAGCAAGGAAACAAAGGCCAGAAATCCAGGAGGTCAGGAAAAAGATGCAGCATTCCCTTTTCCTCTGCACCAAAACGTAGCTCCGTCTCCCCTCTCATCTTCCGTTTAGATAAAATCGCTTCATTCTGATAAAAACCTGACAAGGACTGAACGTGAACCACGGAGGGGCATGCTGCATTTTTGTTCCCTCCCTCAGAAATTAACCGGTGGTGGCTAGGGGAAAGAGCTCCACAACAGAGTCCCAGAACAGGAAAGAGAACGATGCTTGGTGAATGCAACTGCCCCATCAGATGATCAGCCACTCATTGATCTGGTGGTTAGAAGGGCACAGTTGACCGGCAGACCTTCCATAGCAAATCTCCCAAGCTGTAGCAGCAGTTTCTTTCCATCATGCCTGACCATCAAAAGGTCAGAACTCAGGGTCTCTCCTCTTTCTTCCTGGGAGTGGGCAGACTTGTATACACGTGGTGTTTGTGTTGAAGAAGGTACACTGGCAGCAGAGAATTCTGGTTCCTAAAACATTCTTCCCTCTTTTCTTGGATGGAAAATTCCATTCTGTTCCACACCAGCGTATGCATTGAAAATTTTGTATCTTTAAAAAAAGATCTGAGGAACAGAACTATGTTTTGATGTTAACAAACTGTACGAACACAAGACTTAAGAAATAAGAGTAGATGCTGCCATGATGGTGTGGCTACTTGAAGGCTGCAAATTCTCCTGTAGAGGGAGGAGAAGAGCTAATTTTAAAAAAAGTTATCTCAATTAACCTAGAGACACAGAAAAGACTCACTGAAACCTCACTGAACAGTGACTAGCTATCTATTATAAATCTACCAATATTAGCGCTAATTTAAAGAGCAAAAATGGCTGAAACCCATGAAAGAAGACAACTTAGGATGTAGACTATGGTTCAATTACATCAATTGAATGTCAAGTCTGCAGATAATTTCCTAGGTGGGTTTTATATGCTATGGTTCTAATCAAGCTGAAAACAGTTCCAATGAACAAAATATCTCGGAAACTGATTGTAAAACAGTAACATTGATTTGTGGACTACTTTGCCCCTGAATTATCAACTCATTTTCATTATAATGCCACTATTAGAAAGGAAGAAGTAGAAATTACCCTCATTTTGCAAAAGAGAAAACTAGGTGGTCAAATGATTTGTCCACATTACACATTTGACCAAAGGAAAAAAAATCCAGATCCTCCACTTTCTAGTTCATTCACCTTTTCAACCAGTCACAAATTACATAGAGGCACATGTCACTGGACATTCTCAGCATAAGAACTCTTAAACCACAAAGTCTGTTTGAGGTCTGACACTTCTGTAGCTTACTGAAGTAGGGGTTTCATAGAAGGGCCATTATTTTTCACCTGCCATTCTGTACACAGCTTCTATTGAAACTCATGACGAGAGATTGGTCCTTCTTGTTATATATACTATGGTTAATTTTGGGAGGTTGGTTAATAACTGAGAAGTATCAGAATTCAGTTAGCCTTAACATCATTCTTTAGTATAGCCATTTCTGATAAAGACCCATGCAATTATTTATATAAATACACTATTTAATCCAAGCTAACCTACTGCTATTAGGTTCTCTTTACTGGAGAATACTGGCATGTTCCAACAACCAACAGATTTACTAATGGCTGGCTGACTGAACCCTCAACTCATATCGTATATTGCTGATATTAGCAACTTTTTGAGTGCCTATTATATACTAGGTGCCTCATTCAGCTTGATATGTGTTTGCATCTTATCCTTCTAATAACTCTATGAGGCAGATGCTATTACTTCTCCATTTTAAAATGGAACAAGAAGGGATTTACAGTGGTTAAGTAACTCACTCAAGATCTCATAGCTAGGAAATGGCAGAGCTGGAATGCAAAGCCAGGTGCTGACTCCAACTCCAGGGTCTTAACAATTAACAAACCCCTAAACAATTTTCAATGAATAATAATTTTTTTCGTATTCTGAATACAACTACTAACTGGGCTGCAGATAGTGATGCTATCTCTTTCCATCTAAAGACTCCTTTTAACAAGCCATCAGCCAAGGTATTGTGAGTCAAAATATCAAGGAAGGGTAAAAGAATTATTGTCTCATATTTAAATTTTAAAAAACTAGGAAGTTTGGCACTGATTTAAAAAAAAAAGAAAGCCAAAACACTAAGACCTTGGAGAGTAAAACATTTACAGTATAACCAGAGGATATGTTATTAACAAAGACTCAAGGAATATATAAGCATTCTCATTATGGTTTGAATTCCTTCCGGTTTTAAGGCTGCCATTTTTTAAAAATATTTTAATATGTTTCTTTAAAGCAATTTTCAACATTCATATGAGGAGTCACTGTATCTACCGGAATCTAAATCTCATTAAAAGAAGTCAATGTAAAACCGGATTTACTTAACAGAAATCTTTAAAAAATGACTAGAATTCATCTATTAAGTGAGAACATCAGAAAATGATAACTCTAAGCCAAATCTTATATAACACATTGAAATATAACTTTAGCTCTGACCAGTGTGGTTCAGTTGGACGGGCACTGTCCTGCAAAGCGAAAGGTCGTCAGTTTGATTCCCAGTCAGGGCCACATACCTTGGTTGTGGGTTTGTCCCCGGGGTTGGGGCACATGTGAGCGGCAACTGATCGATCTCTCTCTCTTACACTGATGTTTCTCTCCCTCTCTTTCTCCCTCCCTTCCCCTCTCTCTAAAAATAAATTTAAAAATACATAATTTAAAAAGCATCTTCAATGTTTATCTTACTCATTATTATAATCAGACACTCCATTTTGTCGAAGAGTGTTCTGCTCTACAAACTTGAATATTAACCTTAAAAATAAAAACACCCAAAATAAACCCCCAAAGCACAAAATCTTACCAACAAATCCAAATCAAATACCAATGAAGCTAACACTAAAGATCTTCCTACCAGAGTACACTTAATAGAATGCAGTTCTTTTCATAATCAGACTGCAGGTCCAGTGGGGGGAAAAACAAAGACAAAAAAAACGCAGAGTTTAGGCGTCAATAAATTCTTTCTATATATGTCCCTCAATTCATGGAGAAATGTAAGAAAAAGATGGGGGTAACAGCTGATAGAGCTGATTTTTGGGGGAAAAATCTTTTCTCACTTACTCTTTCTTGCATGATCTGGAAATCTCTGTTATCCCACTTCCTGCCTTACTTTATTTGAAGTAAGAGTCAACTCTACTTGTGTGAAGTTATTTGAAGTGAAATATCCAGACATTCTAATTTTTTTTGAATATCTTAGTATATTATTTTAATTAACAACTGAAAAATATATCAGAGGCCAAAATGAGTTTTTTTTATACCTCCTTTCTAGTTGAGAAGAACTTAAGACCTATTTTCCATTTGACTTTATTTAGGAATAGGACAGAGAACACTTGGAAAGACCATGTGATTTTAGATAACTTCAAATATCATGGTTTGTTTATTTGAAAACTAAGGGTTTTATTAACTAGTTTTAAGATATTACTAGATAGCTACTCTTTATTCTAGAGTTGAATGTATCTTTCAGTGACTGTCATACATATAATTTGATAAAATTTCCCCTTAAAGATAAAATGTGCTATGAAAAATCTAATACAATGCTATTTTGTACATAAATCAATCATGCTTTAGACAGAGGGGGGCAGTCATTTATAACCAAAATATGCCCCATCCTTTCTTTATGGTGACCTTTCTGGCAGTTTCAAAAGAATGAGGAACATTCTGGCACAGACACACTGGATTTCTTAAGTTCTTTAGAGAAACAATAACAGGAGAGATGAAATATTTAGTAAAATAAGAAGTGCTAAAGAAATGCTCTAATTCTCAATTAAATAAGCCTATAAACTGACAAAATATTTTAGTTATGAGGTACCCTTTTCATAATACTGTATTTAAAAAAAAAAAAAGGGCAGATCATTTCCTTAAACTGAGAGAGTGGCCAACTTGAGAGAAAGGCCTTTAAGGCTAGTGTGTTAAATAGTTACCGTTTATCTTTTATTTTAAAGATTTTATTTATTTTATTTTTAGAGGGGAAGGGAGGGAGAAAGAGAGGGAGAGAAACATTGAACTCAATGGGCAAAAACTGAAAGTGTTTCCCTTAAGATCAGGAACAAGACAAGGGTGTCCACTTTCACCACTCTTACTCAGCATAGTACCGCAAGTTCGAGCCACAGGGATCAGACAAGAAGGAAAAAAAGGCATCCAAATTGGAGAGGAGGAAGTAAAACTGTCATTATTCGCAGACAACATGATAGTGTACACAGAAAACCCGAAGTCGCCACCAAAAAACTACTTGACCTAATAAGTGAATTTGGCAACATGGTGGGATATAAAGTCAATATTCAGAAATTGATGGCATTTTTGTACACCAACATGAACTATCAGAAAGAGAAACTAAGGGAAAAATCCCATTTACTATAGCAACAACATCCCCCCCGCCCCCTAAAAAAACAAAGTACCTAGGAATAAATTTAACCAAGGAGGTAAAAGATCTATACTCAGAAAACTATAGAACACTGAAGAAAGGAACTGAGGAAGATATAAATAAATGGAAGCATATACTGTGTTCATGGATTGGAAGAATTAGCATCATTAAAATGTTCACATTACCCAAAGCAATCTATAGATTCAATGCAATTCCTATTAAAATACCAACAGCATATTTCACAGATCTAGAACAAACATTCCAAAAATGTGAATGGAACCAAAAAAGACCCCAAAGAGCCTCAGAAATCTAGAGAAACAACAACAAAGTTGGAGGGATCACAATACCTGATTCCTACAAGGCCACTGTAATCAAAACAGTCTGGTACTGGCATAAGAACAGACACATAGAGATCATTGGAACAGAATATAGAGAGCCCAGAAATAAACCCATGTCTCTATGGTCGATTAATATTTGACAAAGGGGGCACTAGCATACTATGGAGCAGGGAGAGTCTCTTCAATAAATGGTGTTGGCAGAACTGGACTGACTGGTACATGCAAAAAACTGAAACTAGACCACCAGTTTATACCATACACAAGAATAAACTCAAAATGCATAAAAGGCTTAAATATAAGTTGTGATAGAATAAAAATCCTGGCAGAAAACATAGGCAATAAAATTTCAGATATCCCATGTAGCAGTATTTTTGCTGATATATCTCCTAGGGCAAAGGAAACAAAGGAAAAAAAATTGGAACTATATCAATTTAAAAAGCTTCTGCCTGGCTAAAGAAAACATCATCAAAATGAAAAGGGAACCAACTGTATGGGAGAACATATTTGCCAATGATACCTTGGACAAGGGTTTGATCTCCAAAATAAATAAAGAACTCACATGACTCCATTCCAGGAAGACCAACAATCCAATTAAAAAACGGGCAAGGGACCTGAATAGACACTTCTCAAAGGAGGACATACAGACGGCCCATAGACATATGAAAAAAATGCTCAACATCACTAGCCATCAGAAAGGTGCAAATCAAAAGCACAATGAGATATCACCTCACACCTGCCATAATGGCTATCATTAATAAATCAACAAACAACAGGTGCTGGAGAGGAAGAGATGAAAAAGGAACCCTCATGCACTGTTGGTGGGAATGCAGACTGATGCAACCACTGTGAAAAAAGTATGAAATTTCCTCAAGAAATTAAAAATAGAACTGCCTTTTGACCCAATTATTCCATTGCTGGGAATATACCCTAAGAATCCCAAAACACCAATTCAAAAGAATTTATGCACCTCTATGTTCAAAGCAGCGCTATTTTTTTACAGTAGCTAAGATTTGGAAATAGCCTAAGTGCCCATCAGTAAATGAGTGGATTAAAAAACTGTGGTACATTTACACAACGGAATACTATGCAGCTGAGAAAAAGAAGGAATTCCTATCCTATGCGACAGCATGGATGGAACTGGAGAGCACTATGGTAAGCAAAATTAGCCAGGTGATGAAAGACAAATACCATATGATCTCACTGATAGAGCAAAACAGAACTGGAGGCATAGAATCATGGAACAGACTGACAGCTGTAAAAGGGGAGGAGGGAAGTGGGGACTGACTGAAAGAAGGTGAAGGGATTAGTTAAAGAACATGCATGAGGGACCCCTGGACAAAGACGTGGGGATTGACTATGTAAGTGGGGGGTGGGCTTTGTGGAGCGGGGAGAAGGGGGGAAATCGGAACAACTGTAATAGCATAAACGAAAGAACATTAAAAAACAAAACGACAACAGCCAAAATAACAAAAACAAAAGAAAAAAAAAAAAGAAACATTGATTGGTTGCCTCTTGCATGCCTCCAACCAGGAACCTGGCCCGCAACCCAGGTATGTGCCCTGACTGGGAATCGAACTGGTGACCTTTCAGTCTGCAGGGCAACACTCAATCCACTGAACCACACCAGCCAGGGTTGAATTAATTTCTAAAAACATGAATCGCGTTACTTATATTAAGCTACCAAAATGAAGGGCAAGAGGTATGCCATACTTAACACTGAGTAGTTTTCCTGGATGAAATTTAACCTATTAAAATAAAAAAAGCATTTAAAAAAATATGTGGTACTGAAAAACTAAGTCATTATTAGTTTACAGTCTTTCCAATTTTCTTCTTTATTGGCTTCAAAGAAGATAGCATTTATGCAGATGTTGTCTGTATGCCTTAATAACTTTGAGCTGTCAGTTACATTTAAAAATCAGCACAGATCCAAACTGAATAAATGAAGATGTATTTAATAGGCTGATTTTGGTCCCAAGGCTGACTCTGAAATAGAGATGGGCAATTTCTTTGGTAAGATGACACCAATGCTGCTTCCCAGTAAGATTATGGTGCCCAGTAAGAATATATTGACTGCCATATTACAGTCACTTTCTACACAAGATAATGTAAGCATTAGAAAATGCTAACAAATACTTTGTGGCACAGAACACATAAAAAAGAGTGGTATTCATTCATAATAAGAACTGCTGGGCAAGGAATATAAGGAACACAGAAGTTTTATGAGACACACGGATCAGGTCGTTGCTAAAATAGGCATCACAAGAGGTAAGATAATTTAAAGTAATAGTAATGTCTAAAAAATCCATTACCTGGTGTTTGGCAACCAGATATCTAAAAGAAAAACAGACAAACCTAAGAGTTCTCACAGGATTCTGTGAAGCTTTTTTGGGGGAGGAGGTGGTAGTGCATTTGTAAGAAATTTAGCTTCTATATATGTAAGATATCCTTAATACATAAAGAAATAGCTAAAAGAAACTCCAATTTATAACATTTCCCCACTAAAAATCCAAAGTTAAACCATGTTACTCATGTCAGAAATGCCACTCCTCAGTGATGGCCTTGGTTACCTGTACCCACAATTCATAAAAAGAGATTTAGTCTAGCTTATCGCTTTAAGGGAATAAAGGACATTCACACTTTTCAAACTGTAATAAAAAGAAATAGGTACAGAAAAAATACTAAGAATAAAAATAAGCTCACTCAATTTTAGTGGCTTCCTGAATGCGACCTGTCTGGGCTGCCTTGCCTGCCGGACTCCGGCGAATCTGCTGGCGCCCCCCGCCCCCCCGCCCCCCCGCCCACACAGGCACAGGAGTGCTGCTGCTCTTTGGAGACCCTGAGAGACAGGCGGGGGCTAATGACCAAAGGTGTATGAGAAAAGTTTAATTGAAGTTTAATAATTAGAATAACCAAGGAAACAAAACAATCCAGGAACAGTAAAACATCTGGAAGGGGCATTGCAAATTTTTAGCAATGTCTATGCATTTAAAAACCCTTGGATGCTGAAAATCCAATGCTAAGTATGAATTTTAGATTGGGAAAAATCACATTCAGTCTTTAAAAACATGTGTTCTTTGGCTCACCTTTATAAAAAAAAATCCTATTCAATTTAACAAATATATAAACACACATGTTCATTTTCCTTTGTCCCTACCCTCCTGTACGCTCCCCCACGTAAATGCTGCTCAGTGTACAGGAAACGCACCATATCCCCCTGCCTGGATGGGTGTTTTTGGAGAAGCACAAGCATAGAGACTGAAATCCTCCGTCTGGAAGCCAGCCCGATTCAAGGAGGGTTCCGATGCACTGCGGTGAATTTTTGGCAATGAGCGGGCCAGCAGCTCAATAGAGGCGAGAATCTAAAAAAGAAAAAGAAAAAAAGAAAGAAGTATGAAAATCTAGGTGGTATTAATCTTTAAGAGCCTCATCATATTTTACAGGAAAGCAACTGAAATCTTACATTGTTTCTGGTAGTATCCTAAATGCCTAGAAAAATACTTAAGAAACTGATGTTTTCCCTTAAAAACCACCAAACTACTACAGCTTTAATCTCTGTAAACTGAATGGGGAAAGTAACCCATAATTAGCTTTTATTTATATTTTAGATCATTTGCCAACCTTGGAACAGTAAATAATAAAAAAATTTAAACCAATTATATGCCTATTTCTCAGAGACCACAATCCCTTTTGGGAAGATGGGAACATGATAAGTAAAGTACTATGTGAATCCATAACAGAACCATCAGAGCAACTCAGTCTTGAAAGAAACTTAGCAATGGGAAACATCCTACACACAGCATTAAAAGTAGGACTCCAGGACCCCAGGCTACTAGAAGCACAGAAGTGAGAAGTGACAGGTAACAACGCAAGACTGAAGACTTTCCAGGAAAACTCTACAAAAAGACACCAACATACAAAACAGGTTATGACTCTTCAAGGCATACAGTGTGGTAATGTATGTACATAATCATGAGATACATGTATAAAAGGCTTGGCACAATACCTCACATATAGTAAGTACTCAACAGAACTTTAGCAGCCATTATTATTACTATTATTATTTTTCTGAGCTACCAAAACTCTTTAATAAAAATTAAACCATAATCTGTATAATGACTAGCATAAGAATGCAAAGAAATAAACAATGTTATAATTTTTAAAAAATTATAAGCATAAAACACAAATCAAAATTCAGGTAATACAGAAAAGTATAAATCCTATCTTCCAGGGGTAACACTGTTAGAGCCTATACTTTCTTCTGGACCTTTCCTATGCATAAACATGGACATCTGAAAACAGCCCACCCGCAAACTCATCACCATTTAAAGTGGCATCACACACATCTTTTTCTGCACTTCTTTTTCCCTTATTGATATCCATGCCATCTACAGAGCTATCTTGACCTTTATGTCCTAATTTTCCCTTTTACAGTAAATATTTCTGTATATATCTGAATACCTGTGGAAGCAGGTCCTGTAGTACAGGTTTTTAGAAGTGGAATTATCAGAGCAAAGGATATTACATATTTTAAGTTTATGGATTTTACAAAGTCCTTTCAAAAGGCTTAACCAATTTACATTCCCCCGACAGTTTAAAACATTTAAAAGGAAGGCTCTTTCTTCCTCACTTTCCAACATTGTTCTCCATGCTGGCTACTGCCAATGTGAAGCGGAAAATCAAACACTGTTCACTATTGTGCTACTCTGCATTTTACTGATTACCACTGAACTCTTAACATTTTATCCTAAGTTCATTCACCATTTGTTATTTCTTTTGTGACTAGCCAGCTCATATCTTTTGCTTATATTCTGATTATCTTTTACTTATTGAAGGAGCCCTTCGTGTAATACAAATATTTAACCTTTGTTATACATGCTATAATTATTTCTCTGTGTTTATCTTTCAATATTATTTTTACTATATAAAAGTTTCAAAACTGTTAATAAAGGTATACCTTTATAAACTAAGGTAAAACTTCTGGATTTTATCTTTTGCTTAGAAAAGCCATTCCTACCTCAAGGTTATTAAAATGATTTCATGTTTTTATATTTTTATTTTTTGTACATAAATCTTTAGCCATTTGAAATTTATGTTTGCATAAGGTATAGAGAGAGATTCTCTAATGACAATTTAAAAAAACACTTAGAAGGGGTAGTCTTCAATAATCTGGAAAATTCATGTGTACATTTCATTTTCTGATAACATGAAAAGAATGAAATGTTATTTATATTTAGGAATATGAACATTTTGTCCCGTTTAATACCTTTTAAAAAGTGGGCCTAAGTCTATAATTTGCATTATTAACATAAATCAACCGGTTCCAATAGGAAACCCTAGGCCCTGGATGTGAGAAGAGCATGGTGTGGGGTCCTGCTGACACTGGCCCACAACACCGACCTTCTACTTTGATAGTCTTCAAGTGGTCATTTTCTGGGTTAAGAAAACAACTCTTCCTCAAAAGAACAGTACCTTAGAATTCCAATTTGTAAAATGTGTCTACCCACACAACCAATTAACCTCCCCACGCACTCTGAGACAGCCCCTAAGAAACCTCATAAAACTATAAATTCTATCTTTAATTTTTTAGATGGGAATAAAAGATTCACTCATTCCTGTACCAGTGGCCTTTGTCTAAGAAACTCAGCTAGGACTGAGTATTCAAAGGCATACGTTTAGAAAGGACCAATACAGTAATTACAGTAGCTGAGTGACTATGGGAGTCAGCACTTGAAAACTGAATTGACTGATTGAGACACATTTATATAGTGCTACCATGAACGTCCTGAGCCCCGTAAAACACTGCTGGTGGGATATTATATTTCAATATCTGCTATAGCTAAACTTTCTAAGCTTATTCAGGTACTCAGTGCCAGTTTGTGAGGCTTATTGAACGATTATGAATTTAAGGGCTTTACTCTTACTTACAACATAGATTAAAAAAATGGAAAATTTCTGAAACTCAGAGAAAGGCCCCTCAAAAAGACCTAGTATTAAACAGAAGTTTGGAATCTGTTTATCATCAAGAAGAATTAAAGCAGCACTTAAGTGTGGTCTGTGGAAAAATTTTCATCATAACACTAAGATATTACTTGCTTTTGTTACTGTCCTCATTTTACATGTGTAAGTGGAGTTTTCAGAGGCTACATGATATAAGATACTGCATCATAATGAATGCAAACCAGAGAACCCAGCTGTCTTCTTTTTGCAGAGATTTGCAAAAAATGTAAAACGATGTTACTTTTCTCCCTACTTTCTTTTGGTTTGGGAAAACAATTATTTTTCATAAAAACATTATTTAACATATTATGGCTTTATTCTGATTATTTATTTTTTAAAAATATTTTATTTATTTTTAGAGGGGAGGGGAGTGAGAGAAGGAGAGAAACATCAGTATGTGGGTGCCCCTCACATGCCCCTTACTGTGGACCTGGCCCATGGCCCAGGGACGTGCCCTGACTGGGAGTCGAACCAGAGATGCTTTGGTTCGCAGGCCGGCACTCAATCCACTGAGCCACACCAGCCAGGGCGGTTTTATTCTGTTTAAATAAATTTATAAATATTTTAAAAACTTAAAAACTTTTGAGAATGGTTAGGCAAAACCAAAGTCTTTCTGAATATTTTGAGTTGGGATCCCAGGTTCCTAGGAGTACCCTTCTTCAACCTTTATGAAATAATCTTTGTGTTTACTTATCTGGAGTTTGCACATAAGCGCACGAAATCCAAATCCATGAAATACAAACTGTGTGCTCTCAAAAATGCTTCAAAATCTGCATCGGAATATTAGTCTGTTCTTTTAGGTAACGAAGTTTTCTCTTACTTGGGGAAAGAGTGGTCTCTCATCTCTTTTCTTTTTTAGGCACTCTGCCATTAATCTCTTCATGGCTTTTGGACAGTTACTTCGTACCTTACTGAGATCTGGAGATAGATATCCTCGTCCCACCATAAAAATTATCTGGGAAGAAAAAAAGGCAAATCATAAAACTTGTAGATAAGTTGAAAAATACATAATCAATGAAAATTCAACACGCTGTACACTTAGGGCATGTGTACTTTTCTATATGTACCTTACATATCAATAAAAAGTTTAAAAACACAAGGCTGATATTCTGATGCCTACATATAGACTGGAACCAGCACTTCATGGACTGCAAGCTGAAATCGTCATGCCCTGTGTACTGTGAAGGCCTCCTAATGGCTCCCCATGCTTCAGTCTCTAGTGGATCACTCTCGACTCATCCAATCCGTTTCCCCACTGGTAGGCCATTGTCCTAAAACACAGATCAGAACGTGCCTCTTTCCTACTTAAATAATTTATTGGGCATCAGGCTAAGTCCTTTGCATATATTGTATGAAGAAGGAACCAAAAAGATAACCTTTTTAGCAGTTGTTTTTACATCCATATTTTAAACTCTTTTGCTGGGGAAACTCTAATGGGGCATTAGAGCCTCCTCCAGAGAAAACTAAACTCTTCTGTTTAATATGTAAAAAGGCTTGTTTTCCCTAGGTGTGGAGATTTGTAACTTTTCTAATTTCTTAATTTTCAGCTCTTCTGATAGTGGACAGAGACAGATGTTAAGGGTCTTGGGACTCTGGGAGGAGAGAAGGGTTTCACTCTTAGAGGGAACAGGTCAAATAGGGACAGATTAGAGGCTAAGGTAGAGAGAGCCAGTAAGAGAGATCCCTGTTATAGGGCAGAGCTGATTAAGAAAGTAAAGACTGATATCCCACTTTATGTTATTTCCTGTTTGGTGCTGTACTGAGCCTTGTTTACCTATAAGCTGATTTGCCTAAGTACCAGTAAAGTGAAGGTATAAAGCTTGTCGTCCTCCTCCCACTTTACAAAAGTTACCTTTTACCAATATGGAAATTCACTATAGCACACGGCACGCCAGGGTGTAAAACTGCTGGGGTACCAAAGGAACACTTCCAAATACTGATGTCTAACTGTGTTCCAATGGATGGGTAACATTCCCTTTGCAAGACAGCTGACTTCCAATGCTTTGTTTTCAGTAAAATGAACTGTCAGATGATTTTTAAATTATTAATGACAAGTTATTGTGTAACTTTTGGTATGTTGGAGAAATATGTTCAAATAGCTGAGTGGTATGGTGTCTGGTAAAGAATTCATCTTGCCCACAAAGAGGGCCGGCCTTTGCCTTTGGCTCCTGGGAGGCAATCCCTAACCCGTTGGAATGTCCTCCCTGTCTTTGTTCACCTGGGGGCCCTGGGAGATGCCAGACAGTCTATGCCATGAATGTGATTTATAGAAGGGCCTCGGGGCTCATGTGGTATCAGCTTGCCCTCTGGAGGGGCTGAAGACTCAGGTAGGCCGCAGAGGTGGTCAAGCATATCTATGTGATTGAGCCCCAATGACAACTCTGAACTCCAAGGCGCAAGTGAGTTTCTCTGGTTGGCAGCACTTTGTGCATGTTGTCACACATTGCTGCTGGGAGTCTTTAGTGCTGTCTACAATCCCACTGGGAGAGGACAACTGGAACTGCCACATGCAGGACTCTTCTGGATTCTGCCCCATGCTTGTCTTTCCTTGGCTGATTTTAATCTGTATCCTTTTGATACAATAATTAATAACTTTCAGTGAGTTCTGTGATACTTAACGAATTACTGAACTTGAAGGTGGTCTTGGGGACCACTAAACTCTGCATACAATTATAACAGAACTCCTGATTTTCTCATCTTCTTATTTGAACAATATTTCTCAGTACTTCTTTAAAAATAACAAGGAAAAGAACTGATGCTATGTCTCAGCTCATTCTAGCAAAGTCTTATTTATCCAGACACATAAATGAATTGAAAAGAAAAGCTCCATGTTGTTCATTAAGATACACATTTCCAATAAAATTTTACCTTTGATGTTTCTATGCAATCAAAACTTATTTTCATCAGTTATACATTAATAGTTATTAATAATGGCATACTTCATAATTTAAAAAATTAACATTCAGAGACAAAAATCACAGGAAATTTTCTCATTCTAAATTTAAATACTTTTTTTTGCTGTAGAGATGTAACTTGAGTGATCAATAGAATACTTTAAAGCATAAAACTATGTTAACATTAGGAAAAAGTTCTATGGGGAAAGTAAAATACTAGTAGTTTAATGAGGGGAAAAAAAAGAGCCTTTAATGTAAAACTTCCCAAAATTAATGGAGAGCTTTCATATTTTTTAAACAAGTGATGATAGGTATCTGATTGGTAAGACTTTTAGATTTTATTGGGTACATTTAAAAGAAGGCTATAATGGCTTTATTTTGAAATGTTAATATAATATACTGGAAATTATATTCTTTGCAATTATTTAAACTTAGAGAGTCATTCTTGGATGTATTTCATGGATAGAAGATTCAAGTGGCACATACAGCACAGAATGAGTAGCTTGGTTTGAGACTCTGGGCTGGGTGTTTCCATCCTCGACCCACACTCGGCACGCACTCCTCTGTACACACTTGCTCACCCCCGGCATCGGGGCCTGCACTGCCTCTGCAGAGCTGCAACCTCCGCTGCGAGCTCAGCCTGTGTTCTAGTCCTCTCTGTGTCCCTCTATATCCCACAGTGCTTTGCATATAGTATGTATCGAAGAAATTTTTATTAGAATAATTTGTGTTAGTAAGACATTCACACTCATCATTTCCTGTTTTTTGAGATCTTGTGCTTAGCACCTGGCCACCACGCTGTGAGAAGGTCCAAGTTTCCTGTGAACAAGTCCTCACATAAAGACCCAGGTGGAAAAGACCTGAGGGCCTGGCTGGCCTTCCACCTGACAGCTAGCGCCACCACGTCAGGTTTGTGAATGAGCCGCTCGGGAATACGGTTCTTTAACACTCTGTGAATCCCCCCCAGACACTACCAGTAAAATAAGAGGTAAACCTTCCTCACTGAGAGTGGCCCAAATTGCATGCAGAGTCATGATTTGTTTAAGCCGCTACAGCAATAACTGGCATACATTTGACACGACAGATAAATGTTATGTTAAGATGACACAGCACTTCTGCTCCAAGGAAAGAAAGCCATGAAGGTAGATAGTTAATACTCCTAGCTTAAATGAGCACATTATTAATCTCGATTTAGTAGAGAAGCTGTATTGAAAGAGGAAAGAATATAGTAATTAAAGAACAAAAACTGGAATCTTAAAGAGGAAAAAATGACAAAGCAGTTTCTCAGATTTTCAGCAACAGGGTAACTAAAGTAAGAAGGCGTGCTGCTCTGCAAACTAGCAGAGGGCTGGTCATCCCTCAAGGGGCTGAGAGGCCTGCTGTAGGAGAGGACTTGATTTTGTAGAACTGCAAGGAACTCTTTAGCCCAGTTTCTTATTTTTATAACTGAAAAACACATATACCTAGACAGTTAATGTGGCCAGGTCACGCAGGCCGTGGCTCCAACGCCTGCCGTTACATCACATAGCTTTTCCACAGCCCTGTTGTGAATTTGCTGCCCTTGGAGCGGCCCCCTCCGACTACAGGGGTGAGAGCACAGGGGAACGGTTCCTATTACATATTAAACGGGCGGCTTCCTGTCTCCCATGCAAAAGAACCATATTCCCAGATTTTCAAGCCATGGAGACCCAAAATATAAGAAGAAGAAAGAAAACTCAAATCAAGGGGATGAACCGGGGAGTACACTTCAGGATGACTAGAGTTATCAATTCAAAAGAGGGAGTTCCATGGAAAGTGCCATTCGAAGAAAGCAGACTAGAAGAAAATGGAGTAGAACGGTAATGGGAAGAGTCTATCATTCTTTTACCTCGATTTTCTTCATCAAATACTTAACTTGGTTTTAGACTGGCAATGTCCACAAGCCTCTCTACTACCAGAAAGAATTAACTAATAAAGGCCTTACCCTTCTGTTGATCACTCACTTATTTTTCTCATGGAGAGTAAGCCCTTACCCCATCATTTATTATACTCCCATGGAGGGCAAAGTACCTAAAATGCCAAAAGTGGATGAGTACAGAACTCTGGGATGCTTTATCCACATTTTAGAGGTAATAATACTTGTTTCCATAATATAATTTTACTGTTTTATTAAAATAAGCATATGCACTAGCAAATGGACTTCATCTAAGTTCACAAATTTTTATATTTGTAGTTTCTACAATAAGTCAACTAAAGCTAAACTAAAATTCCCTCATAATTCCTTTAGAAAAATAATATACAAAGGAAAAGTGACCATGGCACAGGGTGTCCCGCTGTGTGGCCGAGGAAACGAGACTGTAGAGGCAGAGTGCAGAGAGCTGGCACGTTAGGGACGGCAACCTTGCTCCCCAGACTGCCGCCATCAGATTTCCTCTCAGGTCCTCTCAGCGATCCGCAATCTGCCACGAGTACACTAAGGAATGTGTTTTGATCATGTCCTTTAGCTAGTGTTTGGTCCACCCTGAATTTAAATTTTATGCAGGCTTAAAATATCAGATCATCAGAAGCCAGGTCATAGATTTCTCCCCTCCCCAACATTCTAAAGGTATGCAATAGTTAGAAATACCAAATAGCAACTAAAACATTATTTTTGTGTTGACTTGGATAGATATATAGTCATTTAAAAAAATTTTCAAAACGTAAAATTAAGACAACTATTAGGTAAGAGGTGCATGGTGATTCAATGAGCACATACCAACTGCATGATAACTTAGATTACTTCTCTGCTATCACATGACAGTGGAAGTTCTTAGTGAGAAAGCCACTCAGAGCTAGCACCGAAAAGACAGAGCTGAACTCTTGACTAAGACACACACTACTTAAATGAAATAACATGTTTATGCATAAAACTATCATTAGGTTGGGAGGTTATGATTAAACACATAAAATGCTTGCATTTAAAAAAAAATTCTTCAGATTGGTGATCCTTGACTTTGGTATGTATCAGAATTGCCTGGGAAACTTAAAGAGTGCAGGTGGTTGGACCCCATTCCACTGAATTAGAATCTGCTCCAGCATCTCCACTTTCTTTTAGCAAATTACCCAGGTGATTCTGATACAGTATAAAGTATAAATATTATTTAATTTTAATCACAGTTTATGTGTCAACTATTGCTTTTAATATATTAACTGCTGCAATCCCCCCCCCCTCTCTCTCTCTCTCTCACACACACACACACACACACACACACTCTCTCTCTCTCTCTCTCTGTCTCTCTCTCTCTCTCTCTTAAAATGTCGAGATATAAAAGGTAACTTAAGTAAAGACAATTTCTTTTTCTTGGCCAGTGTTAAAAACCTAGGTGAATTTAATAAGACTGGGACAGGAAAGGCAAAGAGCTGCATAAGGCTACATTAGTACATTTGGGAAGGTAAGGGACATAGAACAGGAACTTAGGCAAAGTAAAAAAAATTCCTCCTACTAGAATTATCAGTATAGAAAAATGAAAGCATGATGTCCCAGTTCTTCCATTTACCTTGTTTTAAATTTTTTTTTAAAAATGAAGAAACCTTAATAATTTAAAAAGAACTGGATACGAAGTTCCTGACTGAGTCCCTGCGAAGGGAGCAGCAGAGCCTGCACTTCTAACTGTGCCGTGGTCAAGAGACCCGAAACACAGCCATTGTCGTACCTCAGTTTCTAGTGAGATCAGGAATCTCATTCTGTCAAAACACTTAATTAAGAATATTTCAAGGAAAGGCCTCATATGCTGCTTTTACTACTAAAAGTATACAAAAGGTACCCTAAATTGGTAACAGAGGCCAAGGGATCTATTCTTTATATTTACCCGGGACTTACCCAGTTCATTTCTATAATGAACTGGAACTTTATGTAAGGAGTAAAATAAATCCCAAGAGATGGTAAATGTTTACCTGGTCCCTGTTGTTGATGTTTGAATAAGGTAACTGTCCAGTCATCAATTCATACAGAACAATCCCAAATGCATACACATCTGACTGAAAGCTATAAGGGTTTTTATCTTGCATTCTGATTACTTCTGGAGCCTGTTAGGACATAAAAAGAAAAAATATTCTTGTTTATTCTTTGCTTCAACTGAAGACTGAAAACCAATTCCCAGAAAAATGCTTTTATCATTAAGTAACCCATCCAGTATATAATTAATTCTCTTATTAATGGTCAAAGAAATAGACTCAATTAAGAAAGGGTAAAAAAATGCTCTGTAAACTCTAAAAGAGGCAGTATTATGCTGAGCTTCTATCTGCATTACTAAGATTTTTATAATTTTAGCAGCCTCCTTCTTTTTACACAAAATACCATCACTGTCATTTGAATTCTTCCCTTGACTTACCTACCAAGAATCAGTTCCCACTTCCCATTCCTGATTCAGCAAAGAAATACTATACCTGTGGTTGTAAGATGTTTGGGAGTAGCACAACCACTATGGTAACTGCCTTAGGGTTTAAGTTTTCCCATTGGTACAAATGATTCTCCTCATCTCAGGGTACCTTAGACAATAATGGTAAAATTTCAAGACTGATAAACTCAACTCTAAAACCCTTTCCTGCCTCCAAAAGCAGTATAAACATGCTAGGATGTTTTATTAACAAAAGGAATAAGCAGTGGATAGATTTTATAGTAGATGGTATAAAGAATCTTTTGGCTGCTGCTTCTTGGGCAAAGATACAGACCAAATCTTGTTTACTACATTTTCACACATTTCAGTCACTGTATTCTATAGGTAGGTGTCTTATTGGCTACTTACATGAACTACAACTGGTTGCTTAAATATTAGCTTTAAAGAGTTCTTTCACCTTGAATCTTCTTTTTGTTTCATTTGGAAGGAATTAGAGAAATTGCAGGGTATTAATAAAAACTCTGCGAAAACATTAATTTGATACCAAAGCCAGGATTAATGGCAAAAATCTCCGAAAGGCCTGTGCAAGAGGGCTGGTTATGGGTCAGAGGAAGGCAGGTGAGACTCTTTCCCAAGGCAGGCAGTAACGGCGCTCTGCCGCCCTGCACGTGGAGTCGCCTGTGCCGCCTTGAGCTTCTCAAGGTCCAAACTACGTTTCAGCCCAAAAGTACAACATCAGAAGCTGGGGATGCACTGTTAGTTCTTAAGGCTCCCCAGATGACTTTAATGCCTAACAAGGTTGACACCCGCTGATGGCAGATGTGTAGGAGGGAGACCCCGATGAAAGTGGAAGGGACAGGGTGAAGAAGGCTGTACGGACTTGCTTTTGTCTTATATTTTACTGATACTGCTTTTACAGTACAAATATAAACCACACACAACTGTGATGTAATGAATAAGCCAGAATACTGAGAGGCTGATAATGATACAGACATCACTTTCAAAGCCAGAACACAATTTTTGTGAGGGACAGAGTAATAAATTAATTGAAAAAATTGTCTTTAAATTTTAGTTTTTACCTCGCTATTGTTTGGTAGCTGGCTTGATAAAAAGTGGTATGTCATTTATTTATAAGAATCCATTATTAATCCTTAATTTAGTGATTTAATTCGTAAACTTTTATTACCAAGGCTTCTTTCTCCTCTAATAAAATATAAATAAAACAAGGTTGCAAAGACTCCTGTAAATAATTCAGGGACTTATATAACCTTAGTTTTGACCATACTCTTCTTTTCTAGCCAATGTATGTTCTGTATTTGTTTCTGAAGGCATTATCGACCCAACAGGATTTATTCAACAATTATGTGTACTTTTGGCTAATCACTTATCTTAAAACGTAGCTTGGTGAAATCAAAGATGAACTCATTTATTCAGGTAGAAACAAGAAAGAAGCTAGAAGAAAATACAAAACTTCATCTACTAAGGCTTTTGAAAAAGAACAAAACTGAAGACTTGACTGAGTCTCTCACCCCCACACTAGTTAAAATAAACACACCTTTAAAACATGTACCAATTATTTCTTCACAATTTTAATGGTTTTGCAACTTCAGTACTTAAAATCTGTCGTCTCCCCCTTCTCCTTAGGATACACTGTCATCTTTTATTTTTACAAGGCGTGGGCCTTAAAGGTGCCTGAGATCTGCATTACAATTATAATTAGCTTCTTGTTTATAATTATTTATTAAAACAGTTAAACATACATAAAGAAAAATTCTTGCTAGCTCTAATTACTGCATTTTAGAAATAGAAGTGGCATTAGAGATCCACTAGTCCAACCCAACATGAAAGATGGAGACTTGGAGGAAGTTAAGAAAGGTACAGGTTAAGAGTCACACAAAGCTTTACAGTACACACCTCCTAACTCTAAGCCCGATCCCCCCTCCCACTGTGCAACTTGCTCTAATTTCAGTTATTACAAGCAATCATAGCTCAATCTATTCCTAGGCTTATCTTGACTTATTCAGATTCCTACTTTGCAATTACTTTCCTGGGGACTGCTATACAGAGTTCAAAGAATTTAGGCCAATGTGGCTTTGAAAACCCCTCACAGCAATTCTGCTTCCAGCAGGGTGTCCCAAAGTGCAGATTTTGTTATTAAAAAATTGCACTGATAGTTTTGGGATATCCTGTATTTAGGAGCAGCAATTCTCACACTTTTTGGTCTCAGTACTCTTTCAGTCTTAATAATTACTGAGGACCCCCAAAGAGTTTATGTAGATTATATCTGTGGATATTTATCATACTAAAACTGAGAAATTGTTAACATATTAATTCATTTAAATAAAACAGCAACCAGCAGATGCTAACATAAATAACGCATTTTTAATAAAAAGTAACTATACTTTCAAAAACAAGAACACTTTAGTGAGAAGAATAAAACTAATTCTCTTTGGTTTCATAGCAGCCAGCTCGAGTCCCATATTTGCTTCTGCATTCAATCTGCTGTGATGTGTTGTTCTGGTTGAAGAATATGAAGAACAATCTGGTCTCACACAGGGATGACCTTGGGGACTTCTAAAAGAGTCTTAGGGACCCTTTTGAGAACAACAGGCTTAGAGGATGATTCCTAGACTGCCCTGTCCATAGACTACTGAAGGTTAACTGCACGGAAGTTCTGGTTCCCTTCTTTCATATGTTCTCTTTCTTTTCTACAAAGCAGAAATAGGAACAGGGAGAGAGAAAGAAAAAAAAAAAAAGCTATGCAGGGCAGCACAAAGCCGACAGTGTTAAAAATCTACCTCTCATTTTTTTGTCTCTCCTCTCCCAGCTGCCCCATAATTATATGGTTCCTTCTAGTCTAAAGGAAGTAACTTTCCAATTTAAGCTTAAATAAGACTGTGAAGCAGCCTCTCCCTTAAAAGGAGCAGTTCTCTTCACAAAACCTTCACAGTGGCTGCAGGTCACACTTGCTTAAATTGCATTTTTTTTTTTTTTGAAACAGGATACAAAGAACATTTGGAACACAAAATATTCTAGAGACAATTCTGAATAAAATTTAAAGTGTTTAAAAAATACATATTTTTTTGTTTGAAAGATACTGAAACTACCTTTATAACATTGTTTATAAAGCTAAAGAAAAAAAGTTAAGCCCTGTTTACACAGAAAAATAAGATCAACGTTGACTTTTGTGAATACTGGGAACTATGAAAATACTATCGCTGACACCTTCAACGACTTTCTAGTACTCAGCAGCATCTCAGGATCCAAAAAATAAATCAATGGAAAAATGCCTCAATTCTTACCATCCACAATATGGATCCAGACAACTGTTCAAACTGATGGGACCCACTCCATCGAGATTTCACTGTGGCTAGACCAAAGTCACCTATTTTTACTGTGAGGTCTTCATGAAGAAAAATATCTGTGGTGTGGTAAGTAAAGGAAAACAATAGATCTCATTTTCCTATCAGAGTAAGCGTTATGAAAAATTAGGTAAGAGATCTAATTTCTATAATTCTGTAATATGATATTCTTTAAAAGAAGTATAGTACTTTGTATTAATTAGGTCTACTTGGCCGGTATGACCTGCTTTTAAGGTTTTGGGGGCTTGAAATGTAGCAGAAAAAGGTGAGATGCTTTCGTAAGTTTTTGGGAGACCCTGAAACTTCCCCACAAGATTTTAGCAACACAGGCCCGGATACCCTTTTGGCGCTGCAGGAAGTGGTAAAGGCCTGTCACTGTAATGGGAGTGGTTGGCAGACAGGATCTCAATCTGAGTTTATGGAAGAGGAAAAATTACGTTTTTCTCACCTCATGTTATTCTTAGAGCCTTGAGGTGCATCTTAACTACTGCTGAGCAAGGTGGGAGTGCTACAAGAAACTAGTAGATAGCTACAAAACTACCTGTTTTACAGTGCTGACAGGTTGTAAGCAATCAGTCAAAAAGAGCCCTACTACCATAAAGATATGATAGGTTTTTGTCTTAATGTTTAATTTTTCAGAAACCAAAAGCAGGCTGTAGTACCTTGTTCTACTATACTCTCACGCAAACCCATTTATTAATTTTCTTTACAGTACATTGAACTTAGCATGAAACTGTTTTTACATAATGTGAAGACAAAATGCAGAAGAAAAAGTCAGGATGTTTCAAACTTCGCAGACAAATTTCAGGAAGGATACTATTACTCTTGAGGTCTCTGTGGATGATTGACTTGGCGTGTAAGTAACTGAAAAACAAAACATCATTTTAACCTGAGTACGGCTAAATACTCTGGCCTCAAAATTTATAGAACATATTTAGGGGTATAAACAAAGACGTATTTAGAAGTCATGATACAACTGCAAACTGTACAATGTGATTACCCTTTTACATATTAAAATAGACTGTAAATGAATTTAGGATTAAAGGAACATATTACTAGTATGGTACAGCCAAAATCCTGTTTTCTACTAAAAGACTTTCCTTTATATTTTACTATTTACCAATACAAACCTTTTACTCTAGTCAAGCCTATTTATCCATATCCTTTAAATATACCTTAAATATCTCCCCCTATACCCATCCCCCAAATCAGCTTTCTTTCTCTTCTCCACCTATTCATAGCTTCCTTTAGGACTAAACATACATTCTAACTCCTGAGTGAAGCTTTCCCATAACTAATTCAACTGCAAGTGATCTTTCACTGTTCAGTTATATAGAAATTATTGTAACAGCTTGATTCATGTATTTTTTCACCTATGTTCACTTTCTACTGAGAATGTAAAACTCTACTAGAATATGAAAGTTTGACCGATAAAAAACCATTTTTAAAGGCAGTGTTTATGCATTCTTAAAATACCTTTTAAAACTAGTGAGTAGCAAACTCCCTTTATAACAGCCATACTGAATCTATTTTAAAGTCAACGATAAATTAAATCATTTATGTTACCCCTAAAAACTTTAGTTGAGTTCATTCAGGGAAAAGGTCTGTGTCTAGTTTATTTGTTTATCCCCAGTGCCGAATACAGTGCCTGGCATAAGGTAAGTATTCAAAACACATCAGTTGAATCAACTATAGTGAGATGCATATAAGGACCTAGTCAAGGTTATTTTTCTTCATTTAATGCTGGAGAAGACAGATATATGAGGCGTCTGAAATTTGACAATGACCATTAGGAAATACGACTTGCCTTAAAATGAGACTATAAAACCACTGTTATAAATAGAAGTTTGTAAACCATTAAGCTTATAATTTATGCTTTCTCATTTTCATTTAAACTTCCACATCCAGAGATCAAGATTTTGAAACCCTTTTGCAGACAAAATTTTCATTTCAAATTACTGTTCATACAAAGTAACTCCTTCTCCTCCAATCACTCTCTTACTTAACACTGTTTATTTCCTTCACTGCTTTTACCACAATCTAAAATTATCTTGTTGTTATGACATTTCAGGTCCAGTGTCATTTTATGATGTAAGTTTACTTAGAGCCAAAAAGTTCTGCAGTGATACAGAAAGGTAAAAACATACGGAGAAAAACAGGTCTCAATCTAAAGCTTTTTCTAGATGGGGAGACCTTGTCTCCATCAGCAGAAAAGGGGATAAAACAATGACAGTGTGAGTGGCGGAGCTCCACGCTTCAGTCACAGAGCTGGTACTTAGTTCACAGGAAAGGTGTTAGTGTTTGAAGAAGTCCTGTCTCCTTTGAAATTGAAAACACCAAATGGGTGGTTTATGTGAAAAGGTGGCAGCCTGATGAAGTTACAACAAGGGGAGAGAAAGGTATTCTTGCGAGATGGTGGTAATCTTTTCAACAAATCTGATACAAAGAAATATAGCGAGAATAAGGTAGGTAGAAATATAACTAGAGGGCTGAGGAGAGAACATTTCTGACCAAGAAAGTACTAGACAACTTACAAGATATAAATATGATTGCTGAGCTAGTGATATAACTCTTGCAGAAATTGTTTAGCATAAATCTATTATAGGTCAAAGTTGCATATAGCTGCAACTTGATATAACATTACCTTATCCTGTATAATCCTTTATTATTTACAATCTGCTTTCCTAACTTTTTATCTCGTTTAATAAATCTCTCTCTGTAATACCTCTATAACAAAAGCAGCAAAGGAACGGAAATCAGGTCTATATAATGGAAGGCTAGAGAGAAGGGACTCAAATTCCTCAGCTGAAAAATGGGCTGAGTATCATATCCCAAACCCCACATAATATAATATTCCAGAGTAATTATAATACTAAAGAAACCAGAAATACATGACACCAGAACATCTACTCCTAAGTACCCACCCCCCACTCTTCCCCCCCAAAAAGGCCAAGCAAAGCAAAACAAAACACCCAAATACGTAACTGGTTGAGGGCAGGGAAGGAAACAAGAATAAATGACCTTTACTTGCTGCAGGTGATACAGAAGTCTATCCATTGTTTAGGACAGTTAAATTACCTCCTTCTTACCTTTCTAAGATTTTAACAAGAAACTTATAGGTTTACAAAAATAGCAGCAAAGAAAAAACATGTGCTATAAACTAAATGACTATCATTCTCTTAATTGGTTTCTCTCAGGAGTCTTCTTCCCTGAAAAAATTTTTTTTTTAACCTACAGAATCATTTAATCTAAAAGCTGGAAAATCTTCTCGTAAAATTTGTTTTCTATGCTCCCTCTTCCAAGCTCTTGGGACTCAGCTTTTCAACATTATATTTAGAGCATAATGTAATGTCCCAAAAGTGCTCTAGATCTGATCTGACCAACATGCACTAGAGTGACATCCTCATCTTATTCTTCCCCTTGAATGTAGGACTTGAAACCATAAACCTCCTAGAAGAAAACACAGGTGGTAAGCTTCTTGACACGGGCCTTGGTGATGATTTCTTTTTTTTCAATTTGACAACCAAAAGCAAAAATAAACAAGCGGGACTACATATAACTAAAAAAGTTTTCTTCAGTGCAAAGGAAACCACCATCAAAATGACAAGGCAACTTACTGATTAGGGGGAAATACTTGCAAATCATGTATCTGATAAAGGGATATCCAAAAATATAAAGAACTCATACAACTCAACAACAAAAACTGAAACACTCTAATAAAAAAAAAACAACCAGACATTTTTCCAAAGGCATACAGGTGGCCAACAGATAAATAAAAGAAAAAAATGCTCAACATCACTTACTCATCAGGTAAATGCAAATAAAAACCACAATGAGCTGTATCACCTCATACCTGTTAAAAAGCCTATTACCAAAAGACAAGAAAACACAAGTGTTGGTGAGAATGTAGAGAAAAGAGAATCCTCATGCGTTATCGTGGAAACATAAAAAGGTGTAGTCTGAAAACAAGTATAATGGTTTCTCAAAAAATTAACAGAATTACCATATGATCCAGCAATCCCACTTCCAGGTATATATCCAAAAGAATTTAAGTTGGATCTCAAAGAGTTATCTGTACCTTCATACTCACAGCAACATTGTCCACTCTAGTCAAGACATGGAAACAGCCTAAGTGTCAACAAATGGATAAAGAAAATGTGAGATACACATGCAGACACACATACACAAACCATGGAGTATTTTTTTAAATTTTATTTTATTGATTATGCTATTACAGTTGTCTGACTCCCCCCCCCCCCTTTGTGCCCTCCCACCCAACATTCCTCTACTCTCTCAGGCAATCGCCACACCATTTTCCTTGTCCATGGGTGATGAGTACATGCTCTTTGGCTGCTCCATTTCCAATAGTGTACATTACATCCCCATGACTATTCTGTAACTACCTATTTGTACTTCTTAATCCCCCCCCCCCCCAATCTGGGAACCATCAAAATACTCTCTGTAGCCATGATTCTATCTCTGTTATTTTCTCATTGGCTTAGCTTTTTTTTTTTTTTTTTAGATTCAATTGTTGATATGTATTTATTGCCATTTTACTGTTCATAGTTTTGAGCATCTTCTTTTTCTTAAAAAAGTCTCTTTAACATTTCATATAATGGTTTGGTGATGATGAATTCCTTTAGTTTTTTTGTCTGGAAAGCTCTTTATCTGTCCTTCAATTCTAAATGATAGCTTTGCTGGGTAGAACAATCTTGGCTGTAGGTCCCTGCTTTTCATGACTTTGAATATTTCTTGCCAATCCCTTCTAGCCAGCAAAGTTTCTTTTTAGAAATCAGCTGTTAGTCTTGTGGAAACTCCCCTGTAGGTAATTATCTGCTTTTCTCTTGTTGCTTTTAAGATTCTCTATCTTTAACCTTTGGCATTTTAAAAAAGGACTGTATTTATTCATTTCTAAAGAAAGGGGAAGGGAGAGAGAAAGGGAGAGAAACATCGATGTGTGAGAGAAACATCGACCATTTAGTTGCCCCTTGTATGCCCCCAACTGGGGACCTGGCCCACAATCCAGGCATGTGCCCTGGCCGGGAACTGAACTGGCGACCTTTCGGTTCACAGACCAGAACTCAACCCACATCAGCCAGGGCTAATCTCTGGCATCTTGATTATGATGTGTCTTGGAGTGGGCTTCTTTGCATTCATATTGTTTGTGACTCTCCGTGCTTCCTGGACTTGCATGTTCATTTCCTTCACCAAATCAGGAAAGTTTTTTCATTATTTTTGCAAATAGATATCTGATTTCTTGCTCTTTCTCTTCTCCCTCTGGCACCCCTATGATGTGAATGTTGGTCCTCTTGGAGTTGTCCCAGAGGTTACTAATTGTATCCTTGTTTCTTTGGATTCTTTTTATTTCTTGTACTGATTGGTTATTTTTTTCTTACGTTCCAAATTACTGATTTGATTCTCAGCTTCATCCATTCTACTGTTGTTTCCCTGTAAATTCATTTCAATTAGTGTATTCTTCGTTTCTGACTGGATCTTTTATATACTGTTGAGGTCCTCACTAAGTTCCTTGAGTATCCTTATAACCAGTGGTTTGAGCTCTGCATCTGGTAGATTGCTTTTCTCCACTGTTAGTTCTTTTTCTGGGGTTTTGATCTGTTCTTTCATTTGGGCCACTTTTCTTTGTCTCCTCATTTTGGCAATCTCCCTGTGTTTGTTTCTATGTATTGAGTAGAACTGCCATGACTCTGTGTCTTCATAGTTTGGATTAATGTAGACAGTGTCCTGTAGGGTCCAGTGGCAGAGCCTCCCCTATCACCCAAGCTGGATACTCAAGGTTTGCCCTGTGTGTGGGCTGAGTACACCCACCCCTTGTAGTTGAACCTTGGCTGCGGCTGGCAAGTTAA